GTACTTCATAACTGAAAAGCAGGAGGAAGCCAGGGTTCCCATGGAGCAGTTACAAACCTGATTCATCAGATTATGGGACATGGATTGGGCCACATTAATTAGTGCAGGACTTCTCAACCTGTAGTATGTGTAGGAATCACCTGGGGATCTTGTTAGACTAAAGATTCTGATTCAGTAGGTCTGGGCTGGGGTCTGAGATTATGCATCTCTAACAAACTTATAGGTGATGCCCATGCTACTGTGGCTGGTGGTCCAGTGACCACACTTTGAGTAGCAAGGAATTAGTAGATGGTTCATGGTGCATTTACAGGTCAATCACAAAGGTTTGGATCTTCTCCCCTTCTTCTACCTTCTATTCTGCAGAAATGTTAAGAGGCCTTCTTGGACTCTCTCACCTGTCCTTCCATAAAGCCAGCTTGGCTAGAGTTTAATAAGATCCTGAGATTTGGGCTTGGACTTGGGCAAGGGAAAGTGCTCTTTAGTTTCTGTGTTCTCAGAGTTCTCAGCAGTGGCTTGGGGCCAGTGTGATAGTTAATAAAGTTGTTATTTAACTTTCCATCTGTGCCTATATATAGCTCAAGGTCTCATGGGAGACAGCTGGTGTAGCCTGGGGCAGGATTCCAGTAGATATTCATTTATTTCACAAATCTGTATTGAGCACCTACATGTTCCTCTTTTTGTGCTAGATATTGGGTCTCTGGCTTTAATATCATCTAATAGTGCTCTCAAGGAGCCCTGGTGGCACAGTGGTTTAGCCATTGGCTACTGACAGAAAGGTCTGCAGTTCGAACTCACCAGCAGCTCTGCAGCCGAAAGACCTGGCAATATGCTCCCATAAAGATTACAGCCTGGCATACCAAACCTTATTGGGAAGGTGTTCTGCATCCTACTTTGGTGAGTGGCGTCTGGGGTCTTGAAAGCTTGCAAGCGGCCATCTAAGATACATCAGTTGGTCCCAACCACTTGGAGTAAAGGAAAACGAAGAACACCAAAGACACAAGGAAAGTATTGGCCCAAGAGAAGAATGGGCCACATAAACCAGAGACTTCATCAGCCTGAGACTGGAAGAACTAGATGGTGCCTGGCTACCACCAATGAACTTCCTGACAGGGAACACAACAGAGGGTCCCTGATGGAGCAGTAGAACGATGGGATGCAGAACTCAAATACTAATAAGAAGACCAGACTTAATGGTCTGACTAAGACTGGAGGCGCCCTGGAAAGCATGGCCTCTGGTCTCGCCATCACCCCAGAACTAAAACAATTTCCGAGACCAACTCTTCAGACAGGGATTGGACTGGATGGTGGGACATAAAGCGATACTCATGAAGAATGTGCCTCTTAGACAAATAAATGTAAGAATCCAAAGGGGCGGCTTCCGTCCAGAGGTAAGAGGGGAAGGCAGAGAGAGTTAGGAGCTGGTTGAATGTTCATGGGGAATCAGGGGCAGAGGGGAGGAGTGTGCTGTCGCAGAATGGGGTGAGCAGTTGGGGTCTCATAACAATGTATGTTAAAAAAAATTCTGTATGGGAGAGTAACTTGAAATGTAGACTTCATTTAATAACATCAATTAAAAAAAAATCAAAAAAAAAAAAAAAAAGATTACAGCCTGGGATACTGGTACAACAACAGATACAGAGACCATTGAGAATCCAGACATAAATTCTTCCACCTGTGAGCAGCTGATATTTGACAAAGGCCCAAAGGCTATTAAATGGGGGAATAGACAGTCTCTTTAATAAATGGTGCTGGCATAACTGGATATCCATCTGCAAAAAACTGAAACAAGACCCATACCTCACACCATGCACAAAAACTAACTCAAAATGGATCAAAGAC